AAAGGGAGCCGTGACTGACAGGGATGAAAGATGAAAGAAGAAAAGAAACGGAGGAGAGGCTCAAAGCAGATAGCGAAAGAGAAGAAACAAAAAATGAATAGCAACATTTATACGAATAGTAACGTAAAAAGGTTTTTTTTACGTTACTTCGATCGAGAATAAATTACCAATTTTTAACGATTTTTATTAAAATTTCCATTTCTTTTTTTCTTCAACCTTTCTACAATATTTGTTTGATACGTTTCCCACTTGTCGAAATTATCGATCAGCGATTATCAATTAAGGTATCAACGTCACTATCTCATTTAACGGTTTAACGTGGATGATTGCGATACGATTCTAGTGCAATTAGTGTTTTTAGGTATAGCAATATATCGATATATCTAAATGGAATTTTGACGGATATGCGCGTCGTTGCAGCTGATGGAGGATTCAAGCCATCGGACGCGTGTATTTATGGGAGGGACGTGTAGCATTGCAGCAAGCTTACGCACATACATGTCCGTTGGTATATCCGCATAAAACCATGTCATCCCGCGCGTTTAAACTCGCCTATTATCCGTATAATGCAAACCAAATTATTTTCTCTGCAATCAAAAATCGTCTTTACCCTATATTGCATTATAATTCTGCGGACTGTGAAAATTTCTAACAGCCGATTCTCGTTTACTTGTGTAATATTTATTTTCCTTCTTTCGTTTACTTGTTTAATATGTTCTTATCGAATCTCGTAACTTCGTCTTTCTGCCGTTATTTTTGCTCTTCGTTAAAAGAACAGTTGAGGATGAAGCCCTATTTTGGAGAATTTCTTATTTACAATGTGCAATACACGAAAAAAAAAAAAAAAAAAAAAAAAAAAAAAAAAAAAAATATTAAATCGTTTGATGCAAATTCCATGATAAGTGATCGAATTATTGTTTGTCTGTGAAAACTGTAGATTTGAAAAATTTTCCAAAAATAAAAATAAAAACTTATCAACTCAATAAGCAGTAATTATCGTATGAAAATATACATATATTTTTAAATTAGTACTCTGATTTTTATCTAATTTACTTGAAGTTAATAATATTGTAGCTGCGCCCCTTTAGCTGCAAGGTTCTCAATTGTATCGATGATGTTTTAAACGACCGTATAGACGAGTTTGAAATCCTTGTACTCGAAGAATAATCGGTAAGCGTAAGTTTGATAGATGGTAGTAAGGAAAATTGATGCCGGATCCGGTAGAATTTCAGGTTGTATTTATGGGGACATGCCGCGTGTGTAATAGGTCCAAGGGATATAGGGTAGAACGTAACTCAGCATCAGAGCTGACCGACGAAGCTGAAGCCGAAGCCGAAGCCGAAGCCGAAGCCGAAGCTGGAGCCAGAGCCAGCTTTGCCTGTCGTTCCTGCATTGCAGTAATCCCAAGCAACACGCTCACCAAATACCCCCATAGATATCCCATACGGAGCTCCATCGCGGTCGTTCTTGCCAGTTACTTTGAGGTTGAACAAGCCGACCTCTTCTCTCTTTGGCTTCGCATTGTTCTCCTGTCCGCTCGGATGCGATACCATCTTAATCGTGCTAATTCGCGCCCACCCATCACTGCCTGACACTCGCTCCTCTACTCGGTAAACGGACATTTCCAAGGCTTACTACCTATCCCCTGCCGACGCATACCCTCGCCGTTAATAAGACGATCCAATAAAGAGTTTCTCAGTTTATTTGCTTCTCAACTTCATTAGCTACTTATCTATTTTCATTTTTAAATATTCATACATTTATCCGTTTGCCCTACTTTCATTAGAACGATTTTAATACACCATCTACTGTCGAAAAATAAAATAGATTCGGGTCGGGTGAAATTCTTGCACATCCTAGATTTTCTACCTCCCTCCTGCCAACACGTATCCTCACCGTTAATAAGACGACCCAATAAAGAGTCACTTAGTTTACTTGTTTCTCAACTGAATTAGCTAACTACCTATTATTATTTCTAAATATACATACATTTATCCGTTTGTCCTTCTTTCACTAGATTTGAATACACTATCTGCCGTCGAAAAATAAAATAGATTAAGATCAGGTGAAATTCTCGCACACTCCCTTAGGCTTTATAGAATAAAGTGTTAAACGCGACAATTAACGCGTTAACTTTCAACCGACGTAATACGATCCTACGAAACTTTGAAAACGTGTCAAAGAAGAAAGAAAGAAGATACGTCTAGTCGGTATAAAAGTATATTATATAGGATTTGAATTGGAACGAGCTCGCTGTCCCATTAGAGTCGAGCCCCAGTGTCTCGCGGCGTTCGCAAGTAGCTACTTCCGAAAGTCCATTTTCAGGCCTGACCTCGAGCAACCCCCGAACGCTTACGATCCTAGTAACTGAAATAACTTTGGGGCAAAAGGAAAAGAGGAAACAAGTTCTTCCAGTCGATGAATCATCTCGAGAAAAAGATCGTAGCCCGAATAGGTCAGTCAGTCTTCGGTGGAGGAAGAAAATGTGGACCACTTGCTATGCTAGTGGCGTGATCACCATGATATTCCTCGCATAATTATTACTGTACCGGCTCTGCAAGGAATCTTCTTATCTGTTCCTGACCAGAATATCCAATTACAGGGAGCATCGTGTACAGCAGATTTTTATGTCACGTAGCGGGGAAACGCGTCTGCTCGAGAATCAATTCTTGCAGGCAACGTCGACCGACAGCGTATCAACGACGGCTTTGTACCATTCCGATTTGTATTTAATTTTAATTAATATTTATAGAATCTTCTCGTCGAATTATAGTTACAGATAATAAAGAAAATCTACAAACTGTCTCGGCAAATAATAACGTCGCGTTTTTAATCACGTCGAAAGTTGCGTACCGCGAACCTGGCTAGTTTCGAAGTACATACTTCCTTCGTGTCGTACTTCAGAATTCACGATAGGGGAAAAGCCAAGTAACAAGGTTTCATTGCTGCTAACTCGAATTATCACCGGTAATGTCCTCGTTGCAACTTGACGAACTTTCCGGTGCTTCTTCCGACAGAGGTAACTGAAAAGTTTCCCAGGCAAAGATTCAAAATCTGTTAAAGAATGTCTCCCCGCCCGACAATGTTGTTGACACTAGCCGAGCGTGTCAGAAACAGAAACATCGTTTCTCAACGGTGACACGAATTTAAGTTTAGTCTTCGTATTATGGTACGCGGCTTTTCCCCGCAATGAACAACAACCACCGGAATACTAACTGTAAGAAAAGTTGTTTCTTCGTATTTTACATAAAAGACCGGCGTCTTCCACTCGGCGAACTAATTGGCATCGATATCTTTCTTAACCTGCGTATACTTTATCAAAGTATTGCGAATTTACAGTGGATGATCAAATTATTAAAGCCACTCGCATAAAATGATTAATTCTTAAATGAAAATCGAGTTAAACCCAGTTTTTCATTTGAATGAACGTATGATAGAAGTATGGGCTAGAAATAAAGCAATAAAAATAAAGTATGCAGTAGGTAATTGCAGCAAAAGACGGCGTTACGAAATACTAATATACATATGTAAATTAGATGTACTTTTAGATGTACTTGTTCATTTTTATACGTATTTTTTGGTATATTATTAGTGAAGGATTATTGATTAAAAGTTACACAATGTAAAACCCGTAAAATTGTGTCTCTATTTCTACAGAAACACGAAAAACCTATTTTTCATACCGTGGCTCTAATAATTTGATCACTCACTGTATTTTCGCAGCGTATGTACTTTCATACAATTCGTGACTGTAAATTGTTACACATTCTCGAATTAATAACGAAGCGGGATAAAATATAACAAAAGTTTGATCGAACAGTCCAGATACCAGTTCATATTCGAAATTGAATGCTTGGTCGCGTTTCGTGTTTGCATCTGCTTTTAATTCCTATCCACGGAATAGCAATCGCGAGAATTGACAATTCAAGTGGTTTTAAAAAGCTCGCAAGCAGCAGTAGAGGATTATACGTTACTTTGAATGAAATGTTCGCATCGCAGAAATCCGTTTCACCGAGGTCACCTGCCAGAATGACGAGGGACGCGTTGATAGAGGAAACGTGTTACGGAAGTGTAGCCCGCGCAGCCGAATCACATTCTGTCGTTCAGCTTTTCGTGGATCGCGCACCTATCCTCTAACGAAGCAGCTGCCTTCCAAGAACAAAGGAATATTTTCTCAGCCAAATTCCTGTTTTCAATCTCTGACAAATATTTTGGAATTTGTATATTTTTCTGCTTCTCTAATTACCCGTTCGATCCGTTCGATATCAATCTTTCGTTCATTTCTTCTTGTTCGATAAATTCCCTGCGCGGGTGTGTTGTGCGTGAAATATCGTAAAGAGGCGAACGATGAAAATGCCAAATGTATCTCTGGGTCAAATTTTATCGGTTCTAGACTATAACGGAGTTACGTAAACTGACAGCGTACACATGCTTGATCAAGGGAAAAAGGGAATGTGTACGTTCCAATAAGCAATACTTGTATCGCCTGACTGAATAACTGCGAGTTGCGAGCCACCTGTCAGAAGCAGCTATCGATGTCGAATGGTAGGAACCTACTGTTCTTACTCGTAGAGCAACTGAGCAAAAATACTTTTGTTTTTCTTTACTTTCATAGAATTTATCAAAGGGCTATTCGACTGATCGTGGCCGATAGATTACTTCTACAGATCGTTTCCTATTCAAACTGAAATATTCATCTAGCCGGATTGAAAACAACAAACTTGCAGTGTATCGGGCTCTCCTGGAGTTATGTCGGACATCTTATCGTCCAACATAACTCCATCAACGCCGTCATCATCTTATGTTATCATTTTGACTATGTTCCCGGGGTCAGAGATCGGACATCTTGGAGTCATAATACTCCCCTCTTCATGCCCTGTCGAATGAACCCCTCCCCACCCCCCATCGTCACCCGACATAAATCCAGGAAGACTCGTGTATCGCAAAAAATTGCATTATTCAAGGCAAAATAAGAGAAAGCCAATTTTGTTTGCTTTCAGATCGCTAACTAGTGTCCCAAAGTATTAGAACGAAAGTGGTTGATTCTCATGGCAGCGCGGAAACTCGCAGCCCTCTTCACCTTGGTTCTGCAGCTTTGCTTATGTAAGTGATTTTTATTCCATCTCAAAACAGATACATTATTTGTTTCGATCAGTTATCGTATTTTTCGCGAATACAAATTCCGAAGATTATTAAATTTTGAATGATGAGGACAGAGGTAAGCGTTAAAAATAGAGTCATCTGTATTCGGAAACATCGTAAAAGAAGCCACCACCACCAGCAGTGTTCCCCACGTAGGTGCAGTAGGGAATGATAAATCGTGGTATCGAGTAGCAGATGCGCCACCGTAACTATTTTCTTCTCCGGATTGACAAGAAAATCTGTCTTGTACCTTTCCGAACGTGTTTCCATCGACGAAAAAAGAAGAAAGTCTATCGCGTGCTCGCGCCTACAGTATGATTAAATTTTGCTTTAGGTGGTCGATTTAAACAAAGGTGTATGTTTGCACCTTGTATCGTAGAGTAGACCGGGGGTGGTAATAATACTTGCAAAAACTATTACACTTACAACAAAACTCATTATACAAAAATCTTACATAGTTACCTGACGCAAATAATATCCAAGTTATTAATAAAAAATGGAGACCGGAAAAGTGTTAAAATCGTACCTGACGCCGCGCCGCACAGTGGGGCGAAGGCAGAGTTTTGCAAAAGGGTGAAGATTACTTTTGGTCGACAACAAGCGACGCGACGAGGAAATTACATCGACTTCTCTACTGCCGAGTAGGTCAAATATCTATCCGGCTTTTCAGATCACAGAAGCTCCGTGCTAACTCGGAAAATTCCATGGATTCCACTACTAGAAAGCAAAGATTGGCTCGGCACTCGGGAAAGACAAAGTAGAGAAGTTGCATCACGTGCGGGAAACTCGCATCGTACGCTACCTACGACCTACCAAATCTTTTCTGTAAATACCGATTCTCGCCACTGGCTACGTTTCGATATTTGCAAGGCTTTTGTTACAAGTTTCATGAAGGAAACGGGCTCTCGATTATTTCGATTCGAATAAGGCGTTTAACCCTTACGATGACGAACCATGAAGAGAGCTCCAATTTTAATTTAATTTCGTATTTCATATTATTTTCATTTTCTGAATTTTACCTCCCCTGTACCATTATTTAGGAAAGATTTACCATAAGGGTTTATTATTTTTCAGGTCAAATAACTCCAGAACCACTGCCAGAATTTTTAGCTCCTTTGGAGAATCACACAGTGATTCAGGGTCGCGACGTTTTCTTCACCTGTGTCGTTAATCATTTACAATCATACAAGGTACGCTAATTATCAAACCTTGAATCGAAGTGTAATACATTTAGAAATACATCGTCGAACGAGAAGCTACTGTACGTAATGCACATTAGTTTTTTAAAAAACTTGTTCCTGTTAGGTGGCTTGGATAAAATCAGACTCCCGAGCAATCTTGGCGATACATACTCATCTAGTAGCGCACAATCCACGGCTTTCCGTCACGCATAATGGACACAACACTTGGAAATTGCACGTGTCAAACGTTCAAAAGAACGACTCAGGCGCTTATATGTGCCAAGTGAACACTGAACCTATGCGTAGTCAGGTGAATGCATATTTACTTCTTATTTCTTGCATCCTTAGTATCAATATACAGTGTGTCCCAGGTCGAGTGGTACAAAAAAGGAGAATAAAGTTTTCTGTTTGAGCTTTCGTTTTCGAATAGAAGCGTTTAAAAAATGTTATTTTTCTTTATATAAGTAAAGGGATGTAACCCTTTAGGATAAAAATAATGTCTATAATATCGTCCTTTTATGACAAATAATTTGCCGTTAACTTTATTAAACAATATATATTTAATGAAGACGTATACATGTACTCGACGAATTTTCGAACTCAACTTTCTCGAAAACGAAAGTTCGAAGGAAATGAATGTATTCTTTTCTTTTCGGCTTATTTTTGCTTATAGATTCACCTCCTGGTTAGTGGCACTATCCAATCTGAGACACTCTGTATACCCATAGACTTTAGAGTAGATATAGAGACAGGTCTTTAGGAATTTGGAGTCTAATTAATTAAAATTTGTTACAAAAAGGCCTGTCGTGTTACTAATCTCTCGATAAAAATTTAAGTCAGAGTGTAGAGTCTTTGTATAAAGGTAAATAGTAATCTTAATAAGAATTGATGAGATCATTTGATTTTTAGAACGGATACATGGAAGTAGTTATACCACCGGATATCATGGACGACGAATCCGCGGAGGGTATGGTAACCCACGAAGGTGGTAACGTGAGATTAAGATGCGTCGCGACGGGTTCGCCGACACCTACCGTCACGTGGAAACGAGAAGATGGCCGAAATATCATCCTTAGAGAAGATGGACAAAAACGATGTAAGATACGCGATCGCGTTCGACATATATCGAAGACAAAATATACCGAGTATTAACCACGTAACGTCTTGTCTTTCAGCGGTAAAAACTTATGTGGGTGAAACTCTAGAACTATCCGGGATCCTACGACAAGAAATGGGTGTATATCTCTGCATAGCTAGCAACAATGTTCCTCCAAGTGTCATCAAACGTTATTCCGTCGACGTTCATTGTACGTACACGTGTACAGTACCGAGCATGGTGGAATTCTCTAAGAAAAATTGCAACTTTTTCTCTTCGTTGCCACACTTTCAACATCATTCATAATAATTAGCAAAATTAAAAGTTGTATTTCAAATTTCTACAATCGATATAGTGTTTTACTTTACACTCGTTAGATATCAGAAACTAGAGTGAAATTTACAGAAAAATCTTTCTGTTTCAGTTCAACCGGTTATAAAAGTAACAAATACACTGTTAGCAGCACCTATCGGCAGTAACGTTGTTCTTCAGTGTCACGTTGAAGCGTCTCCGCATGCAATGAATACGTGGTACAGAAACACAGGTAATCAACATTTAGGGAAATTCATTATACGGACGTTGACGAATTCATCGCCGTTTTCAATTCATCAAAGTGACAATGTTTCTGATTCAGGCGAGAAATTGTTAACCAGTGAGAAATATATAATGACGGAGCACGCATTGAACGGTTACTCGTTGCAAATGAACCTTACTGTGAATTCCCTGGAGAAAAGGGACCTCGGAGAATACGTTTGCTCATCTGTAAACGCTCTTGGAAAAGCAGACGGTGTTGTACGTTTACAAGGTAAATTCTTACTTTACATACACAAATCTTACAAATTCTCTTAATCATCAGTGCGTTTGAATAAAAAAATATTAATTGCGAGTGTGCGAGTACCCATATATCATGGACGATGCGTTACCCGAGTTAGTCGGGCTACCCGGGTATTCGTATGTTTCGAGTACCCGCCCAAGCCCCTTGAATTTTACCCGATCCGAGCCCTAAATTTCGAATATTCGTACACCCCTAGTTTTTATCGCGTATATTAATTATAATTATAATTAATTATAATAATTATATATTATAATTATAATTACAATTATTCTACATTAATTTAAAATTAACCAATTGCATTTTTGTTTATTCAGAACTTCATCTTGCGGAGAAAACCACTCCTACCAGTTTTATAAAAACCATCGACATGAAACCTCGGAAAAAACCCGTATCAAAGGGAAAAAAGAAAAACAACAACGGCAACAGAAGAATACACGGGGGTGGTTTCGATGAATTTGATTCTTTGGGAAACGACGATTTAAGTACTACACAAATTATGACTGGTAGTACTTTTCAAGAAGGTCACGGAACGGAGAGACCTCTGGTTCTGCCATCATTGTCCCCGCCTTGGGTAATCATGAACACTGCTAATTCAAAACATCACTCAACATCGATCACGATACTTCTCTTCCACTTTTTCTCAACCATAATATTTATCCTCTAAATTGTACCTACGATGGCCAAGGTAGTTCAACAACGAAAAGGATAAGAATAAATATCAAAGATAAGAATTATCGAACGAGGTACAGGATGAGAAAATACTTTAGTACCTACACAATAAATTCAACAAGAAATAGGTTTTTGCAGTTGGTACAATTTGAACTTGTACGTTTCAAATAGGTCTTCCTTTCCTTCTACTTAAAAAGGATTTTGTATTTTAATTGAATAAGATACAGTTATTGCAACGCGACCAATATGAAAATGTTTCTCTTAATGAAATGTTGTAAATATGTGAATGATGTGAAGAAATTATTGCCGAGACGGAGACTATCTGTAAAGGTTTAAACGAATCGAACAATTTTCTGAACATTCGGTAAAACTGAAAAATAAAAATAACGTTTTCGTATCATAGCAACTTATACGAATAAACAAAAAATAAATAACGGACTTTCAAAGAAATTATCGTTGTACTTATATATAACAGATATTCATATTTTTGTCGTTTAAAAACAATTTACGCAGTTTTGTAAAGCAACGTTCAACGTGCAAAATTTATTTGTCAAAGCAGTAACGCAATTGTGTCGAATACCTCTCCGAAAACACGAGGGGCTATAATAACTTAATGAGCCAGCTAGTACTGAAATTTGTTCATTATAACAAAGAGATGTGAAAGTAGTTTCACGATGGAAAACTGCTAAAGGAAAATTTTTCAATTTAAATCAATCGTGTCAGAGACTGTTAAAAGATGAGTTGCAATACACAGATGTCGCGATTAATGTAAATTTATATTATAACTTACGATTAATAAATTAATAACAATGCATGAATGCTGCATGGTATGGAATAAGAAGTTTCAAAACTTTCGTGTTATCCCACAACGTAATAGAAACCAAAAGTACAATGAAGTAACAATATGCATATATAGTAACCGATAAACATAATTAAGATGTGTAATGGACCCATTTACTTGTATCGGTATAATATAATTGTACATCGAGTTTTATCACTAGTTAAATGAGCACGTATGATATTTCATAACTCTCAATCATATTTTAAAGTGCGTTTTTTCAAAAAGAGGATTGTTCTTTCTAATTATTCTAATTTGGAAATTCATTTCACCTGATATGATATTATATGTATATTTTTTTTTATTTAGCGTTTATATGATAAATTCCGTTTAGACATAAAATATATCGTTACTTATTGTAAAATTTTGTCTAACGAAATACTTTGTAATTCTATACGACGAATAAGAATTTATACTATTTTTAGACCCATTGATATTATCTACTTTTACATCTCTTGTGCTTTTATGTGCAATATAACATAAATCAGCAATTGTTCAAACGACATATTCTTGGTCATTATGTCTCACAATATTATTCAACAGACAAGAATAGCTTCGACTTCCTTAATAAAATTTATTTAAAAATCTTTGGTGTGAAAGAATAAAAAAGCCCAAACAAATAATTTAGTAAGTAAATAGTATTTTTTCCGCTTCTTTTTTATGAAGGAATAATTTAATTAGGATGTTTTGATAATTGTATACGTGCTGAATACCAATTACAAATTTGACTCCATCGAGAAAACGAATGACAATAAGTATAATATAATAAAATCTTGTTCGGTTGACATCTTACAATTAGAAAATCTTGCGAGCAATGATGCTCATTAATAGTTAACACATTATATTTAAGGAACTTTACATGACTCTACTATATATATTTGTAGATAAAATTAGTCGACATTCTTTTATCTTCACTAAACTGGATTTTTTCAAAAGCAATACAAAAAACATTCCTTTAATTAAATTGTTTTGTTCTTTTGTATGCTTCACCGCTACTAAAATATTCTTAGAAAACTATCGACTCATTAATATCAACAATTATCTGATCTATACATATAATTGGGAAAATGATTAACCTTTTAATCATGATAATTTTTCAAAGCGTAGTAATTAAACAATGTAACGAGTACATATATTTACAAAATGATCCATTAATTTGGATAGAGGTGTGAGGGTACCCGTGCCTTCGGGAACCCGCACATTCCTACTGGATAGAAACAAACAATTATTTTTAAATTATATTCACGGATTAACATTATATGGAGAGTAAATCTGTTTCAAAAATATTAATGGGTCGATAAATAGAAGATTTGTTATTTCAGCTACTTCAAAGTTTTCAATAATATTAAGTTGTGTAATAAATTCCCACGTTTTTTGTATTTTATCTTTTTCCCGCAATTTTGTGTTTTGTCAGGTAAAGTATGATTGCATTCGCAAGTTTTTTTCTTGCTCTACAAACGTATCTGCTTCAATTTTTTCAACACAAAATTGTGGAAAAAAGATAAAATACAAAAAACCTGGGAATTTATTACACAACCTAATAAATCAAATGACGTGTTGTACTATCTAACAATAAGTTCTAAATAAACGAAACAGGTAAATATTCTTTTATCGTTACATTATTATGATAAACACTTAGGTCGTGTCGGATACTATACTGTCAAAACTAAGGCGAATTTATCGATGTTAAAAAAGAACGTGTATACATGCAACGATACATATGAATCATATAGGACCATGTTTTATGTATGTACATACGCTTGTGGAGAAAACGATGCACTATTAGCGTGCGACATGTACATAACGGAGAAGCGAATGTTGGCATTGTTCGTGGAGCGATGAGATTAATAAAAGAATGATTAGTAGATAAGTTGTATGTATATGATATGATATGATACATATATAAATATACATAGTCTGATAGTAATGTTAAACGAGACTACATTTTGTATAATGTAACATTAAATGGTCTCGTATCGCGACATATGGAAATTGAAAAAAAAAAGATAAGGAAAGATTTAGTCACTTGTTAAATAATACTTATCCATTCATAAAGATATAGTATTAAAATCAAGTGGATATAAACTTGCTCGTTCGTTAGATTCCTCACAACGAAAATTTAAATAGGTATAATTCTATTCCTGTTGAACGAAATAGATTCCAATTATTTATAATTAAACCTACTATCATTTTTAATTGTAAAAAAAAATATCATTTAATATTTTTTGACATGGTAAATCGAAGGTTTATAAGAGGACCCCCTGGAAAGTGGGGCCCGGTGCTATACCCTCCCTTAGACCTCCCCTTATTCCGACGATGATTATAGCTCTTTACAATAAGTGTAAGTTAAATACCCCGTATAATTGTATAGTTAAATTGACCCGTATTTTAAGTGACTTTTTTTATCCGTTGATTGATCGATTTTTATTCTCTACGTCGTGAAACCGGAATGATTCAATTCATATTGTATGTACAAACAGCAATAACAATAATATATAACTGTATATGCGAAATTTTTCTTCGATAAACGATCGTTTAGCTTTTATAAATTACAGGTATGAATAACTTGTCAAAATTATAAAAGAATAAAATTATAAAAACGACAGATAACATATTATACAAGTGAAAAATGTGAACATTATGTATAGAATTAACTGCGATAAAGAATGAGCGTATATATGTATCATACTATTAACTTCAGACAATAAAATGTTATTATCGATGTTATCATATCGCATTTTCACTTTCCTTTAACAGAAGAAATGAATGCAAAAATAAATGCTGAAAATTTCAATATCAATCGCGAATTCATTCGAAACATTGATTTTATAAACTACAAAATACAAGAACTTCTAAGAGCAGGATGCTCCTATATGCAACGCTAATTGAATGAATACGAAATACCAACATTTCTAATAAGACACGCGAACTGTATTTTTTGCAACACTATTCAAATCTCTTCAATTTTGTAATACGCAACAATAATTTCAAAAACAGTAGAGCCGATTAAAGGCTATACCTCTGCAGCTGGATTTCATTATATGTACATCGCAACACTAACGCAAAAGCTCGAATATTCGTTATCGCAATGCTAATTAAAAAATTCTGCAAATTAGTTCAAAGCAATCGCGTATTTTCAAATCACAACACAAAGGAAATAATCCAAGTATTGTTATTCGCAACACTACTTTTAACAGAAATCTAATTACAATTCAATAAATAATAATATTGAAATTTAAAGAAAAGAATTCTAAAACGAACCGTGAGTTTTTGTTCGCAACACTAAAGCAATCGATATTATAAGGTAATATTACTTCTTAAAGCAAAGCAAAAAACAAGCGCGATGTATATATGAAGTTCACAACACTAAATCAAAATAGCGATTAATATTTCTAACTCTAACTTGAATCGCGATCAATATTCATTCGCAAAAAAATAGCATGCAACTCACCGATCGCAGAGAAAACCTGATTGCAGTAGTCCAGTAGAAAACTACCATCCAGGAGAAGCAGGGAAGTCATCATGAATGTCATCTAGGATGTCACCAGAGAAAGTCCAGAAGTCTCAGTAAACTTAAGTTTACAATTGTACACATCTGTAACAAAATAAAAAATAAAAAATGTTATTTAAGAAAAAAATATATGAAACACTACTAAATAATTATAAAAATAATACAAATATAATGAATTTCATTAAATCATACTAAAAAAATTGAATAAAACCACTTACTAGTTGTTCCCTGCATCGCCGTAGAATCCATTTTAAATTGTCTCGTGCAGTATCGAAAGCACCAATGGTTTTAAATCCGCCATTTTCGCGCCATTCTTATTCCCTTTCCTTCCTTCCTTCCTTCCATAATAGTTCAGTACTAGATATCTGTGTAAAATTACAATAAAAACGTGGCATCATAACTTGATATTATTAAGTTTTTTATGCTTTTTGTGAAATTCTATGCGAAAATTCATATGTATCTCATACAACATTGATACAACTACGTACGAATACGTACATAGTACGGGCATGAAACGAAAGGGCAGAAATGTTAATTAAATCAATTTTTCTTCTTAATTCACATAAATATCTTACAAAATATTAAGCAAAATATAGAAAGGATGGATGCAAATAATTCGGAACACTATTAACCTTAATTAAATGAAAGTTTACTTACTTTAAAACGGAGAAGGATGTCACGCGTCCTCTCGTTCCAACAACTACGATACTACTCAGCTTTCGAGCGGTTTATAAAGATGGCAGCATTAGGTTTAAATTCGAACTTGGCGGGAAAGATGAAGAATAAACTACAATAGGATTATTAAAGATATTATTCCTAAAAACATTTGTATCTGTACCTAAAGACAAATCGATTTCTAATTAAATAAATTAAATAATCATTCCCAAAGTGATTTAGAAGAAAGACATAAAATGCGTTTCACGTTCATTACATAATACAACTCTATATGTGCAAATATAACTACACAGTTTATGCATGTGTAATACGGTAGAATGTGACACTGTATTACTGAAAATGGTAATGAAATTATGTAACTTACCGACACGTGCGACACTAAAATCTGTGGTTCTTGTATATGTTGATGTGAATGTTTTTTTACAGATTTCTACTCTTTTATGTTTGACCGCGTGGTGCAGCACCAGTAAAATCTCGGGCCTGAGTACTCTCTATTCCTTTCTGATAGCAGTGACTACAAATACAAGCAGCGACTCCTATCTATAGTCAGTTAAGGAGCAAAACCCACTGACATACACTTATGCCAATATCATTCTTTACACAGTTAGAAACATCATTTTTACCTTAACCTTAAAGAAGAATGAATAGATTTGAATATGCTAACCCAGGACTTTTACCAAATGAAAATTATATAAGACGCGATACTGGTGTACGTTTATATGATGGCGATATTAAGGTACATATGATGGATGATTCTGCGCAAATATAACATAGCATAACCTCTACATTTTTACATAGACAAGTTTTGAGGGAGGTGAATTGGTTCTTACAAGCCATAGATTTATATGGGGAAGACCTGGTGATATATCACATGGCCACACTTGTCTCATGTTATTCCTTCGTCATATAATCTTTTTTGAAGAAGAAGTTCCTGGTCCATTTTCCTTTGGACGTAGCAAAAAAATTATTATACACCTTTCTGAAGCTTCAATTGGTATACTTCCATTATATCGAAATTGTGTGTTAAAGTTTTTATTGAATTTTATTAATATGTTTTATTTTTGTAGATAAAAGGCCTGGTCCATTGGATAACAGTATATATAACCATGTTAAATTCTCATTTAAAGAAGGCTTAGATCCAAATTTTCTTGCACAGTTATCTGATGTTATAATGAAAAAAGCTTGGGAATTAGCACCTATTGTACCCCTAAATCATTCCATTAGCAGTACCAGAAACAGTGGAAACCATAATAAACCATTGCCACAAATAAAAACACGAACTGGTATAATAGGTATTGAAAGAAGTCTTCAAGAACAACAGAAAGCAACAGATGAAAGTATATTACTGGCCTTTCAAGACCTAAAAAAACTTATGGAAATGGCTAAAGACATGGTTTCCATTTCAAAAACAATTTCAGCAAAAATACGGGTGACTTTCTCGACATTTACTTTCTAAAATTGACATTCATAATCAAAGACCATTACAGGAGAGGCAAGGAGATATCACGGAGGATGAAACAGTGAGATTTAAGTCTTACTTAATGAGTCTTGGTATTGATGACCCTGTTACCAGAGATGCATATAAGAGTAGTAATGAATATTTCAAACAATTGGCAAAACAACTTGCAAATATTTTAGAAGAACCAATTAAAGTTAATATACCCAATAATCACAATCGAAATAAAAATGAATAAAATACTCAATAAATTTTATTTTCTAGGAAGTTGGAGGAATGATGACATTAACGGATGTTTATTGTCGAGTAAATAGAGCTAGAGGCATGGAACTTTTATCGCCAGAAGACCTATTAAATGCTAGTAGACAATTAGCTCCTTTAGATTTACCTATAGTACTACGAGTGTTCGATAGTGGAGTTATGATTCTTCAAATTCGATCCTATGATGATAACTCCATAGCTGATGTTATAGCTGATCTTGTAAGTACATTATTCTAAATCCTTATACAAAACATAATTTTATCTCTCTATTATAGATAAAAGGAAGAGGATCTTTGACAGCAGAAGAATTAGCACAGTCAGAAGGTATATCGGTCCTTCTAGCGCGTGAAAGGTTACTAGTTACTGAAAAGAGAGGAAAAGCATGTAGAGATGATACAATCGAAGCTTTAAGATTCTATCCTAATTTATTTTTGGAAAGGGATAATTAACTGCCAGTTTCTTATTTTGTGTGACGAATATCGTCATTGAAATTGTATATACATATATATATTATGTGTCTTTATACAGTGTGATTCTCTCGGCGCGCAACACAATAGCCGTCCCGCACAATGGGACGCTGCGGTTGTTGCGGGTAAAGAGACCCAAGAGCCATATCGCCGGACCCAAGACTGCTCTGTATGTGTTTATGGCTGAAACGAAGACAAGAAACGGAACAGCAGGAGTTCCATTGTGCGGCACGGCTATTGTGTTGCGCGCCGAGAGAATCACCCTGTACATTACATACACAAAACACAACAGAACTGAACATTAAACATTACATAAAATACAATGTATTGACTAAATTTTGAAAAATTTGTTACTCTTATTTTGCAATTAATATTTCTTTTAATCACAGCTAACTTTTTATAAGAATAAAAAAAATTGTATATTGCAAATGCACAAATAAATCTTGTCTAGTATTGAACTAAAACTTATATGCAAATAAATTTATGTGAATAACTATGTAATAAAACATAAATAATAAATATGTAAACAACTGTAAAAAATGTTTTGCACGATATCGAATATCGACAGCGAATACAACGTGTGTCATCATTAACTGAGGTGGCGTTTAAATCAGTTTCTGTTCGACCTAATTTGCGATGAAACGTTGACTGTTTTACCAATGCGGAATTCGGAGTTCGGCCTCGAATTGTAAAACAGTATCGTGACAATACCGACGAGACATGGGTAATCTTGGCGCAAGCGCAATAGTGTTCCAGATAGTAATAATGGATCGGGACCCATGTAGACACTGAGAAAAATAAAGTATGACAATGTTTGGAAGGGGGTTTAAACTTACTGACACTGTCAGTATGCTTTCACAAACAAGTGTTGTTAATGTGATTTGACCTTTGAAATTGCTAGATAACTGTTTCTCAACAGAAACCTTCGACAGCCAAAGATGCTTACTCGGAGGTAACGATACAGCGAATCATCGGTCTCATAACCTGGTCTTGAGGTAAGTTTTACTCCGCAACAAATGGAGCCTTAGATTGTAGCCGTTAAACGTCCCAGCCTTATTTTAACAATAATTTTGAACAAATTTTTATTTATTGGTCTGTCGTAAAGCATACGATTTCAAATTTGCACAGGTCTGCTATCTAGCGTCTTATTGCTTCTCTCTTTTTCTAGATATCGGTAATCCCCGAGCCAACAGAAATCCTGTAACGATAAAAGCAGTGATTGAGGACAGTGCAAGAGAGAGAAAAAACATGTCGTGCTCCAGCGAATTGTCACGATCCCAGGAATATCTCAGTTTTCGTAGTTCTATCCCACTCAGGAAAATCGTCGTCGATGCTGACGGCACTAAGGCAATTAATTCTTTAATCATAAAACGTTCGACAATCGATTCAACAAGATTGCGATTCGAGATCGAGACCCATAACGATGACCTTTACGCGATTGTAATTTTTTAAAACAAATCTCGTAAGCGAATAACTGTGCTTCGTAATAAAACAAACGAAGTATCGAGTGTGCTTTTGGTGAATATTATAGTAATTGACACTAACTTATAGTTAAACCGGAACAACGCGATCGATAAATCATTTGCCACGCAATGCCCTATTAAAGACGCGTAAATTTTTAAACGAAAGAGTTTCGTATATTAAAAAGTAATGTTTATAGAAATGGTATGAAATTTAAAAGACGCAAAAATTAATTTTTTTTCCTAGGGATGGAAGGTATACGACTCCAGTCCAAAAACTATTAAGTGCCCCCTCATATGTCTTCCACCGGTCAGCGGAACAGCAGATGTGTTCTTTAAACAAATCTTAGGCTTGGCAGCCAAAGGATATAGAATTATATCGGTAAATAGTATATACATACGTTTTTAAATTATAACTAAAAAAAATAATTCTTTTTCAGGCCGAACCACCGGTATACTGGAACGTTAAAGAGTGGTGTGATGGATTCAGGAAACTCCTGGATTACATGGAACTCGATAAGGTTCATCTATTCGGCGCTTCATTAGGTCAGAACGTACGAAGAAAAATTAGTATGTCAACCTAAAAAAAAGGTAATTAATATGTAAAATTACAATAAAAATATTTATTTTCAGGTGGATTCCTGGCTCAAAAGTTTACCGAGGTGAACGCTCATTGTCCTCGAGTGGTATCACTGGTACTCTGTAATACGTTCACGGACACGTCGGTTTTCAGTTACAACGATTCGGCGGCAGTGTAAGCGCGTTGTTTTCCCACGTCAAAATATTTTCTAAACATTATAAAGTCAGGCAAATTTTGTCAGGTTTCAACGTTTGTATCGAGATAAGAGAAAGCGAGTAACAGAAAACGCGATACGTTATCATAAATACTTCTGCGAATAACTGTTAATCAATTTGTAGGTTTTGGATCCTACCATCGTTGGTATTGAAAAAAATGCTAATGGGGAACTTCGTGACGGAGAAGGTCGATGGAGAAATCGTGGAAGCTATAGATTTCATGGTTGAAAGGGTACCAAATATATTTTTCCTCTTACAGTAGACAAGTTGAATGGCTCGATGTTTAACGAATATTTTGTATTCATAGCTGGAAAGTTTAACGCAACCCGAATTGGCGTCTCGATTAACGATGAATTGCGTTAATTGTTACGTGCAACCGCAAAAAATATGCCACCTGCCTATTACAATTCTCGATGTTTTCGACGAATACGCGTTATCTAATTCGGTGAGAGAGGAGATGTACAAGTGTTACCCCAATGCTAAACTGGCACATCTGAAGAGTGGTGGAAATTTCCCATACTTGAGTCGATCGGCTGAAGTAAATTTACATTTACAGGTATTCGTCGTTATCTATTCGGTCGATGGTGTTTACAATTTCGCTCGTTTGCTAAGCTGAACCAATGTATACTTTACAGATTCACTTGAGACAATTCGAAGGAACCGAGTACGCTGCCTCAGAGAGGACAAAATTATAGCGAGCTAGCTAAGGATAGTAAACAAATTCGAAGTTGTCATATCAAGACATATTCCACGTATGCGTGTTCCTATACTTGTACCCTGAATACCGGCCGGCCAGATTTTCACAGTGTATCAGTTACGTAATACGTATTAATACTTATGATAGCAATCTCAAAACCTTCTACAAATATACCCAACATATCAAATATGCTGAAATTTTTAATAATGTACATAGTATTAAGCTGATGGTACATTGAAACTCATTGTATACTAAGAAAACTGAATAAGAAAAGAAAAATATTCGTTCGTTGTTAATCAATGTCGATGGATTATTCAGTGTTTACCTCGATCTGTGTAATACTTGATCGAAATAAATATAATTTTGTAAGAAACGTCAAGGGCAGTAAAATGTTTGCGGATTGGTGGGAACGTAGCGAGTCTAGTTTTATAGATAAGTCGCATTACGTTTGATGTAGCAGTGGCTCGATTCACCTGATTATGCGTCGCCTGTGGCGATGCCGGTGAATGAACTCAGGATGTCTATGGTTTGCAAGACCGCCTAACTGAGAGACCGTACAAGAACTTGCTTGGTATCGATTTCTCTCGCTCGCATTTCTCTCTCGTCAGCTCAGATTACAGGGCCTTTCCTGTCTCTACCACCTATGGGACACCTTCACATTCTCGTACATACTGCGTACGCATTAATTACGATTGTCTACCGAGATGCAGTCAACTTAGAATTCTCTTCAACGGAACTCAACACAACAGTTTCTAAATTCTTTTTAAACGATTGAAAGTATTTTTAAACGATTTGACCTCTAAACAAAGAGATAAGGTGAGATCATTTTTATATAATGTAGGTGTATTTTTTAAATCTTTTGATGCAAATGGGACAAAGATAATTTATTTAACCGTACCCTATCTCTCTATCCTGGCATACAAATTATTTGAAAGCTTATCATCCCCATTAGGTACTTATCGTCCGCACGCCCAGTTAATTACACATTTGAAATACTCCAATTCTAATCGAGTATAAACGTGGGATTTTCAAGGATTTTCTGATAAGATTACAGTTATCAGAAATTATCGGAACGGTAGGCGGCCGTGGTGTGACATTGAAAATGAATCGTCCATTTAATGATAATTAAATGCCGGCCCGTGAAGCGGGAAACGGCTACCGTTTGAAAGTTCAGTCTGTCCGGTGATCACGCCGCGGATAGCCGCATGCCTCGTCCACGCTCGCAAAAGGCATGCTGGTGTACACGAAAGTTGAGCATTTCGTTCTTGCATACATCGCAGGATTCAAAGTCGTTTCTTAAAAATATATTTAATGTAAGTTAAACAGTAATAATCCACAACATTAACAATTCTAATCTAAATTTAAGTTCAACTCGATAACTTATGCATAACTTAACTTATTAAGTGTGCATTGTGCACGTGTTAAAATTTAAATCAAGTATTTTGACTCCGAATCTCCGAATCTTGATCACTTTCTGATCGAAGAAGGATCAATTACCTTCATAACAATGTTACTCGAAACTCAACACGGATGTGAGCGATCGATACGCGAATATATTTGCGAAAAACAATCAACATAGCCAAAGGAAAGCTGATACCGTGATACACGAGAACAGAACGTTTTGTCAATGTTTCTACATCACGACGCGATCCTCTGGACACAAAGACTGTCACGACCGTTTCCAAGTTTCTTGCGGTTGATCGATCGACTAACAAGCTTCGCGTCGGTATAGCCTTAAGCGGAAATCGCTAGCAACCGCGAATTGATTCACAGGTGAAAGGAAGGCTACGAGTGTTACAGTTTCCTTAAAAATATCAGATCGCCGTGAACATCGTCCTTTCGTCATTTTTGCTCGATCCAAACGTTTTTTTATAATCCGTCGAACAGACAGTACCTACACGCTGAGTGACATCTCGAACGATCGTTGTGCGGCTTCCAGTGACGCTTTGGGAGCGGAAACTGACGAGTCAATATCGCGTCAACAAGTGAATGTCATATTAATATCTTTTTCAGAAAATCGCCACTCTTCGAATATCACGTAACTTATATAAACGCGCGAAAGATTCACCGTAACGTGACTTCATCTGCATTCTCATTAAAGTAATTTTAAACGATGATCTCCCGCCTGATGTCCCGCAATCAGGAGTAACAATCATTTTTAACTTTGTATTCTTCTCGTTTTACAGAACGAATATTCTCAAAAATGACCAACAGCCCCAACAATCGCAAAGGATTCACTTGAATCTTGAGTAAAGAAAATTCTCGTTTTCCCCTCAATACTGTTAGTCTACTTATTTGGAAGAAAATGGATCGGGACGAGGAGCGATTTCCCTTATTGGAGAGGAAGCTAAGCGCTTCGACAAAAGCCGCATACGCCTTGGGTCATATTTTTAACGACTTGACAGCTGCCATGTGGTTCTCTTACACCCTTATCTACTTTCAGAGGGTAGCCCTGTTGGAACCTATAACTGCTGGAGCCCTACTACTTCTAGGTAGGGGATTCTACGAACCATGGATCCATAGAAGAATTTTTAAATATATGTATACCTTTACGTATCTTACATTTAAGGTCAAATCGTGGACGCGTTCGTGACGCCAATATTCGGGCTGTTGGTCGACCGCTACCTGAAAAAGAAGATATGGCACATCATTGGCTCGTTCATGGTTACCATGACGTTTCCAGTGATCTTCGGTGGTTTCGCAGAACCGTCAAACACAGCCGTTATGCTTATCTACGTGGTCAGCATCACCGTGTTTCAAATTGGTTGGGCAGCTGTACAGATCTCCCATTTGTCCATGATTCCATCGTTGACGAACTCGCTACTGACACGGGCAGATCTAACCGCGATACGGTAACACCAACCCTTACCTGGTATCGCTTCTGACATTGTCCACGATAACTTTCAATCTTTTTCTTCTCGAAACAGATATTCCGCCCAGGTTGGCGCAGCTGTGGTGGTATTCGTCGTCACCTGGATAGTGTTACCAACGAACGAGGAAGCAGTGATTCGATTAACCCAACAAGACAGTTATAAATTCCGAGTGAGTGGTTTGGAAATTTGAAAATTTGCAAAATTTAAGCCATTGATTCGATCCACGACAACGCAAAACGATTCAAACGTCTCTTCCGAGAGGAGATCTCTTCTTTATCTCCGTAACTAATCCCAAAACGACATAATTTAATTCCCAGAAACCCAATATCATTATTTACCAGCTGCTTACCCGTTTAAGATCTCAACAATATTGTGAGAAAAGCTACGAAAGGATTAACGATGATTTCCCTTTGCAGAACATAGTGCTTACTCTAACGAGCATCGGTCTAGTGTCTACCGTACTGTTCCACGTATTTCTGAAAGGGAATCTTTTGGAGACATACGATCAACAGAAAGAGAATATCGAGGAAACAAGGAGGCTGGTCGATAATCCCGTAAACAATCGAACCTCATGGGTCAGTACCACGATTCTTCTAAGAGTGGCTATGCTCTACGTGGCCAGCAGGCTATTTATTACACTAGCCACTGTATATTTACCTCTGTACATCGAAGAAACAGATGTCGATGGAAAAGAAGCACTGGCCACGGTACCTTTGGTTTCATACGTGTCTTCCTTTGTCGCCGCATTGTTGTTAAAATATATAAACAAATCGTGCGGTACCAAGGTACGGTCTTATTGTTAGAATTATTTAGTCGTCAAGAGTTATTTCGATTTTTTATCACTTTTCAGATGTGCTATTTTTTGGGCATCCTTATTGGGATGCTTTCCGCGGTTGTCACGGAATTCGCTGGAAAGTCAGCGCCGATCATATACTTCGTGGCGGTGTTGATCGGTAGCGCAAGTTCGATCACGATGGTCACATCGTTGAGCGTGACGGCGGAAATAATCGGGCCGCGAACCGAGCGAAGCGCGGTCGTCTATTCGATCGTCACGTTTCTTGATAAGGTTGTCACAGGATTGGTCGTGATTCTAATCGAGAAATGGTGAGAACGGTGATATTTCGTTTCTTGATAAAGGTACCAACAATGGAATGATTTTCTTCTAGGAGGTGCACGGAACCTGCGCTCTGCCCGAATTACAATAGAGACACTCTGGCCCTGGTTTGCGTCCTTTCGATGTCTCTAGGACTCGTTGCTTTGTTCTCAATATCGCGATGTCTATCTTAGGAACCTTAACTCTTTATTATTAGTTATCATTCTCATGGGACTCATTCCTTGCAACCATCAATCGCGTCATTTTCATACTTTAGTCTATACTTTTGTAGAAAAAATTGTACTGCCAGCTGTACGAATAAAACTTTCGTGGTAAAACAGCTAAATAGTTTGAAAGAAAATCGTATAAATTCTTGTGTGGGCTCGATTTGCCTTCAGGCAAGGGCAACGATAGAGCAAGGACGCTTGTTCCTTTTCCCTTATCTAAGGGTAGCCTAAGCTCTACACGATTATCATATATGTCGAATTAAATTTTCGCGGTAATCATAGCTTCTCGTACGATAAATGATTCACCTGAGAAATTGACTTAACCGACTCGAGCCCGGGCTTGATGATATTCGCTGACAGATGTCGCGACGGGACTGCAGTACGATCCTCGGAATTTTCCAACAGAGAACGCGGATCAACGTGAGTAGCCGCTAGAGTACGATGACCTGCTCGATTTACGCGTTACGTGGCGAATCGTGGTTGCGTCGTAAGGAACGTAAGGCAAGATCCGTTGAATTCTGTTTAGCCGTTATTTCTCGAAGAACGATATAGCGCGATTATCGTATGGGGCCTACAATAACGATAGACGCGTGGCAAGGTTCGCGATATAGGTAGGGGGAAAGAACGAGGAGCGAGTGAGCGAGCGAATATCTCACCAGACAAAGAAGGGAAGAGAAACGAGAGCAGGAGAAAGAGAAAGAGAAAGAAGAAGAAAAAGAGCGATCGCGTATGTGAAAAAGAAAGAGAAAGAGAAAGGGGGAGAGAAAGAGAGACAGAGAGCGATAAAGGGAAAGAAGCAGAGGAACGAAGGCGCCTTGGTGGACCACGAGGCAACAACGACAAACGGCGCACACATCGGCTCGTGCGAACATGGCCCGGAAGGTGCGCGCGAGGCTACTGCGCAGAGTCTTGTTTTGCTCGGCTGGACGAGGGGAATACGGAGGCAGACGCGCGTTCACGGGGCATGGCGTGGTGCGCGTTCTAGTAAACAACTTGTGTGCGACTCGTGCGGGGAATCTCTCGCGCGGTTAACGAAGTTTCATCGTGGTTCTAGAATCGTGTTGTTTTCTGGTGCGCGTATGTGTGTACGTGTGTGGTGGTCGCCTTACTCGTGCTTACATAGAGAACAAGTGTGTTTCGCGCGGTGCTGACCGATATTCCCAGTGTCATCGATCGACCCTTGATCGTCCGTCCTCCAGTCTCTCGACGTTTCGCCGGAGGAGCATCCGGCAGTTCTTCCACCGTAGTGTCGACACGGTAAGTCGATATCACGTTGGAATTTCTTTTAATACGAACGCGTGTGTATGTGTCTGTTGTCACGATGCCGCGTCGCTCCCGAGTACTTATATACGATTGCGTTCGGTTCGCGACGTTGTATGTATTTTCGGAACACGGGGCCGTCGTTGACCCAGCGCGAGCGGGCCAACCGCCACGCGAAATCGAAGGACGCGTGTTAGCTCTCTCTCGATAGCTCTTCGCCGATCGAATTCCTGTAGAATTTGGGAATACGCGCCTTTCCCGCAACAACGACAATCGAATCTCGCGTGACGTTCAAGAACCGACGCCTTTCGATTCTCATTGATCGGTGACTGTCATTTTTCTATTTGGTCGCTGCACGGCGTGGCGCGTTAGTTTCGTCTACGGATATTATAAAGTTGACAGTGGGACACACAATACGATCGTTTACCTTCGACGTTGCTTTTGACATACGACCGATCATGGATATCACCGGTCTCGGGTTTCCTTCGGAACCGGATAAAGATCGATTCGGAGTAGCGACGTGCGCGCCGCGTGGTTTCGTGTACGCGTCCAAACAACGATGTCAATGTTCCCTTCGTCGGTTCGATGCGAGAATCGTGTGCGTACTTTGAAACATGTGTATGTGTGTATCTTTGTGGGGTGTGCAGGGAGGAAATCGGGGTGTAAAAATGGTTCAGGGCGAAAGGAAGAGAGAGAGAGAGAGAGAATGAGAAAGAACAACGAATAGGGACTACAGTGGGCAAAGTGGGGGACAGATAAAACAGAGAGGTGTATATATACATATATATACACACTTATAGACGTTGGCGTTTGAATTTCACGAGGAGAGAAGAGATTACGGGCGCGCAAGATCGGCGTCGCTGTCTATCGTCGCCACCGCCTACCTCCTTGGTAAAAGGTCCACGGAACGTCAATAGGCAGAGCAGCATAGCTATATCGCATTCCACGATATTTCTCTCTTTAGTCACTGACCTCGCGGCTGCTCGGCCAACCTCGTTTCGTCGCCACTCTCGCCTCCTTGTTTACCACTCTCGAGCAAGATATTCCGTCGTCTCGCTCGGAAGAGCTTCCTCGAAACTCTCTCTTCTTCTTCTTCTTCTTCTACTACTACTTCTACTTTGTATCCCTACTCTCTTCCTTTCATACCTATTCGGGGATGAAGCGTTTTCAAAGGATTTATAAACGGCTCCGAAAGAATGTCCCTTGTTCCCCTGCACTGTATTTTCTAGAAAGACAGAGAGAGAAAGAGTGGTAAAACGTAGCCGTTTACTAGGATACACATAACTAAAGGCGAATCGATCCGCCTTAACAACTCTTTCGAATCGGCTTTCGACCAGACGCGTTTACGTTGTATGGATTCATTGTTTCCGTCGCGATTTCGATTCCTTCACATCCAACTATGTATATCCTCTCTTCTTTCTGCGCCTGAATAGAATACGGAAGCATAGAGCACCATCTGTCCGACAATGACGCCGCTGACTTTTACCGACAGGGACAATTTGATTTACATCAAAGAAAACGGCATACGTACAAATATAATCGGCCCCTTGTATCCGCCGGTATTACGTTATAAAGACTACGATTCATGCGGTTACGTGAAATTTCTGTAACACGCATAAATAGATAAATGAAACTTTACCGTGAGACGTAGGTGGAGCCTCTCACTATTTGCTTTCAATTTCGGGAGCATCAAGAAAGTGCCTAACATAGAACCTTCTGTCTTCGTAGATAAAAGAAGGTGAATAAATAAGGTTAACAATGCGAGGCATTCCTTTCGTTACATTTTTAGAAATGCTTGAAAGGCTATAAATCCATGCGTCGTTTGTTTAACGAAGGGAACAATTAGGCGTGACTCCTGACACACGATATATGGCAATGTTTTGATCGACATCTTGAAACAGCGAAATACGACGATGGTGTTTATGCACGGTAGCCTTGATCGCAGCAGAATATTGTAATCAAACGAGAGCAGGGTAATATTAGTTATATAGGGACAAATATTTGTTTCATCGAATCTAGTAGATTCTTGACAGTCTATCTTTCGGTAACTTTCTCTTTCAACCCTCTCTCGCGTGCACGCGTCGAGATAAAAGTGCAGTAGGTAAGTAACGTGTTGCATTTCAACCACACGTGTCCCATGATCGCGTTGTGACATTTAACACGTTACTGCCCATAGGGGTTACCGCTGATCGCTGTCGCGAGCCTTATACAGTAAAAGCTGGATATATGCAAGGGAGATTGGGATCCAAACATTGCATACATCCAGCCGAGGTGTCGATTTTTTGTCGATATCGATATCGATATCGACTTTTTACCGTTAGCTTGGAAATTAATGTAATCTTCAATAGATACTGTCCGGTTTGATGGAAATCACGGGCTTTTCCTAACATCATAAAGCACCTAATTTGCAATCAGTAGTCCCGCGGCTCAGAAATATTCTGAACTGAACCGTGGCAACGATAAGTTTACGAAGCCATCGACCAGTTTGGTACTTTGCTAGAAATATTTGATAAATAAATGTGTTTGGTATTATTTTAATCTGAAAAATCTCACAAATGCGCTAGTAATTTTAGATAAGAAAAATTTAGATTAAAAAAAATTCAAAAATAAAAAAGTTTTATCGTTGAATTAGTATTAGTGCCATATTGATGAATACCGCTAGTACAATGTTGTATTTACACCGGTTGTATCTTACATGCACGAAGGTTCTCAATATTATATTCGTTAAACTTTGTATTAAAGGGTTAATCACGTTTAGTAACGAATAATTAAATAAATAAATAAATAAATAAAAATAAATTAATCACACCAATATTACGGTTCGGATCATATTACATGGCTTCCTCGTCGTGAGTCTCGATTCGCGTAGGAGGATCCCCCCACGTGGAAGGGATAACCACCTTGCACTTATTCAGCTTTTACTGTACTTCAATATATTTCAAATTTTTTGCACAGTTCTTACAACATTGCCACAGGTCATAGGCGACGCTGCGTTTACCGTGTCAGCGACAGAACAATCGAGGATGAATCGAATAAATTTATTCGCCGTGAAAATGAAATTCGTTTTTTTCGTTTCTTTTTCTTTTTTATTATTATTACACGCGGCGAAGTTGCGTATTTTTATTATTATATACATGGCACGTGGCTGGTGTGATTGCGTAACCCGTTCACGGTATCACGAGTTGGTGTACGCGTCGCAAACAAAATTTTTATTACGTTCACCAACGGTAAGGCAGCAATAACAACAACACGCTCACTCGGTCGTCCTTACATATTCCACGCGCCTCAGTCGTGACTATTTTCCCGGGCTTGCGTAAGAAAATACGCTTCAAGGCGCTCGAACGGCTCGCGAGATCGCTCTCGCCGATTCGTTGCTAGCCACGCGTGAATATAACGATCTATGAAGCCTCTTCTCGTTTACTTCGTCATCGCGAAAACCATCATGACGTCAGTCGAAGCTGCGTGTCGCGTGGGTGGAATGGAACGCGGTATCGTTGATAATCGGCTCAACTTTTGTAAGAAAGTTCATAATTAATTTACCAGGAGAAATATCAACTTTGAGATATCCGCAAAAGATTAACTCCACGCTTGACCTATTTTTATCTAAAATAGGAGCGCCGTGAATATTTACTCGATGGTTACATAGGGCACGTTGAAAGTTCTGACGATATAAGTCACTTTCACCAGGTACGATTAAATTATCGATATTTTGGAATAAATTAAGTAATTCGTTTGATAACCGTGTAATCGCACGATAAATCCGCCCAGTCGTTATCGTTTTGCGCGAATAATTCACCGTGTAATTAGAGCACGGGTTTTAATCGCGCACATTCGAATGATAGAGATTGAAATTACTTCGGATTTATTATCGTAGAAATTGAGCCATTATGCTGACGAAGCGTGTCGTGAAATCGTTCTGTTTTCTTATCAAACAAGATAGAAAAGACGAAAACCGAGATTAGAATCATTTGGAGAATTTAGGATAAGCGACTATGTTGATAATCATAGGATTTGAAGAATTTTTGTCGTGTTATCAAAGATATTCTTGGGTAGAAATCGATGGGAAATGGGAATTTCTACATGGTTTGACCCCGTTTCTATAATTCCTTTGATTCGATTTCCAGTAAAATATCCGTGATTAGCAAAGGATTATCGACAAAGCGAACCTTGTTGTTCCTTCAAACTATAGCAGTACCTAATTATAGCCACTGTTCCAACGAGGAATTCGCCATAAGCTCGCTTTGGTTCGAAGGGGTATTATTTAAGGTACAATTAAACGGCGATTATAGGGTTCATTTTTCTTTTGAAACGTTGCTTTTGAGAAAAACGAGTTTGACATTTCGAGTACCCAAGTACTTAAGTACCTACAGTTTTTTTATTGTTCAATAGTGTTTTGCTATTTGTGCCTCGAACTTGCAGTATACTTCAATCTCATCTCTATTCATCTAATCAGTGTGATGATAGATAATAGTTGTTGTAATAGGGGCAGTATTTCAATTGATCGGGCAATCGGTCAAATTTCCTTCGAACAAATAGAGTTCTACTTAGTCAGATAGCAATTCAGATTGCGGAAAAAAGGAAAGAGTACGTCGGTCCAAACTACGGCGGCGTCCTAAAAACCCGTCTCGACCCATTTCTCGGTCGATGGGTCGATCGGTCGAACATGTACGTGTTCCATTTAACGGAATTAATTCGATTCCGAGTTTCTGGCGAGAATTTTCTGGCTTCGCGTGGACAGATAATTATTCGAGCGGGCGGAGATTGGCGAGAAGGTGGATCTAATCGGGCGGGAAACCGAGGCTATCGAGTTGTAAAGGTGAGAACCTGTTCCCACTGGCTAAAAACAACGTCGTTTCGGCGTTAGCCTAGCGATCAGTTCAGCAGAAGTAACAATAAAAAACGAAACGTAAAAAACGAACATTTCTCACGGTACGCATCAATTTTGCATGAATCGTTTGACAAAATTCGAATTTCAAGAGAATGATAATACGGATCGA